TTGTCGCCAATTTTTTGCTTATTTTTTTTTTGATTATGGGTGCTACTATGGTCAACACCATTTTTTTAAAATCTGTCTTCGCACCCAGGTGTTCCTATATCGGTATTGTTTCGGTTGATCTTTGTCTGAATTTTCCATTAGTGGTAAGATAACGGTGCTATACTACTGTAATACAAACGCCTCCCCTATACAGGGTGTCCAATAAAAGAAAAGGTTTTCAAACCGCAATTCCTCAGAGGTAGCTAGAGGTGGTCGGTGTGATGTCATAGTGAATCATTTGTGCTTTAAAATTTTACATATTTTCTCACGAAAACACCATCACTTGATATGGATATCATGAGATTATGGGTGCTACTAGGGTCAACACCATTTTTTTTTAAAATCTATCTTCGCACTTAGTTGTTCCTATTTTGCGCAGATCACAACCTGCTTCCACATTTCTCTATCCCTTGCTTTTGTCATCCAGTGTTTCCTATCTTGGTTGTTCCTGGTTCGAAGTCTTCGACTTGCTTGTGCTGGTGGTGGTTGCACTCTAGCCATCCCTTTCTCTGACCGTCTCTGCCACTCTTGTGCTCCACCTCGTTACTGGTCTTCCGATGGGCCTCTTCTGGTCTCGTGGTAGCCACTCTGTGATCCGTATCGTCCATCTGTCGTCTGTTCTTCTGGCTACGTGGCCGGCCCATCTGAGTCTTTTTCTCTCGATCACTTCCACTGGATCTCTGAGTCCCGAGAGCTGGCGCAAATCCGTACTTCTTAGGTCTTCGAGCCGCGTCTTCCTATTGTGCCCGACGAGGTTTCTTTCAAGGGCTCGATGCGTCGCTCTCAGAGCTCGTTCGGTGGTCTGTGTCGTGGCTCAGATCTCTGTCCCGTAGCAGAGTGCCGGGAGGACGGTGCTGTCGAAGAGGTGTGCCTGAGTCCTCTGGTGATTCTTGAGGATCGTTGTGACCTCTTTGATGCTTCCTAGTGCTGTCCAGGCCACTCGTCTTCTTCTGGCGACTTCTTTTTGCTTATTTTGAATATCTAGCTGGTTTTTGTGTAATGGAATCAAATTTTCGATGTAAATCCGTTTGAAGCTTCTTTGTAAAATAAAAGCAGTTTTTCTTTAACTTTGTTAAACATAAGAAAGTTTGCCGAAACCATTAGGTTGGCAAGAAAGTTCTCGGAAAAAGTTTTGCACGATGATTTCTCAAAAACCAAAAACCAAGCCATCAATTCTTCCCAAATTTTTTTGATAAACTTGACTATATCTCAAAAAAATCAGAGTAAGCTTCAGGTAAAAAAATAAGAGATTTCTTTAGCTGAATTGACTTGGTCACTTTTTCAGTGACTAGCCTTTTAGGCAAGCTTTTTTATGGGTTAATGAATAATTGATGGATTCGTTTTGAAGAAATTCCAGTCAAACTTTTTCCGAGAACTTTCTTTCAAACCTAATATTGGTTTGGTGAATTGAAAACTGCGGGCTATTGTCATATGTGACAGTTTGAGCACTTTCTTCAAAAGAAACCCATTTTGGTGTCAATGGAAAAGTTGTAGAGAATCAAAAATCAAGCTTTATATCCAAATTTTTAGAACGATTCAAAAACTGGTTTTCAAGAAATGCCAAATTTACGAATTTTCACAAAACTTGCATTTTAAGCGAAACTACTGAGTGTATCTTTTTGGAAATTTCGCTATAAGCCTAATTTCTGATTCTCTACAACTTTTCTATTGACACCAAAATGGGTTTCTTTGAAGAAAGTGCTCAAACTGGGCTGACAGCTGACATCTCGAGTTCTCCATTTTTGAGTCTCACGCTTGTCTCACACACAAACCAAAATCCTACCACGAAAGAGGAATCCGCAAATTGCCTGTAAAATGGGCAGAAGTTGTCAATAATAATGGAAATCATTTCGAATGAATTCATGGTTTTATGTTCAATAAATTTTAGTTCAAAGTCCGGCAGTTTTTAATTCACCAACCCAATCAAAAGAGAATTTCCTTTAGATTAGAGTGGATTCTGTTTAAGTCTAAATTCTAAAGCTTAGGCTTTAGCGCAAGAAAATCGTCTTTAGTCAAAACTAAACTAATCATAACTACTTTCTTCCAAACTCACCTCAATCATTTCCACAAAAATCTCATTATTCGTCCCTTTTTCAATCGGAAGCAGCTCAAAGCCAAGAAATAACCAAACAGGAAAGACTCCATATAAGAGAATGAAATATATAGCCCAGCCAAGAGTTCTCAATCTATTAGTGAGAAAATTTTATATAGAAATGATTATCTTACTTGAACGGATGATCATCGGGTAGAAGACTCTGATATTTATAGAAAAATAGTTGATGGATCGAGGAGACAGTTGTGGCAACGAGAAAGCCACCAACTCCCTAGAATTTTCGATGTTTAATTGTAAAAATCTGCTCACCAAAGCGTGTTTGGCTCCAAAATTGAATACTGAATCCCATATGCCCAAAATTCTTCCTGATAAAGCCGGAAAATTCAACTCGGGTTTGATTGAGAGAAGGGAAAACTCGAGAGTTAACGTGAAAAGCTGAAAGTTTATTTGCAGTTGATGCTAGTTTTTTTTGATTGATACCGTAAATACTGTAATAGTACCCCACCGCCCTCGTACAGTCGCGTAGTCGCAAAAGTTTTTTAGTATTTCATTTTTTTCCAAGCGTCCGTACTTTTTGCAAAGCTGAAATTCAGGGCTTTTTTTTGATACCTAAGCGCGCATTGTTGCATAAACCAGTGTCGAGAAAAACTCGTTCAAAGCTAGACTACACAAAACTCCGCACCGTCACTATGGGCGGTGGGATGCTATTACAGTATTTACGGTAACTAAAAAAAATTGAGAAATTTTAGTTTGTTTCGTTTGTTTGATTGATAATACTGATACTTTACGTATTAAAATTCAAAAAGAAGTTCGAATGATCAAAATGAGTGAATAATGGACAGAAAACGAGTCCTTTTATAAGTTCATTGCTACAAACTGAATACAGCTGCGCTTTCGCGCGCATTTTAGAATTCAGCTACTTAGTGGAAAGCCGTAATGTTTGTGATCGAGGCTAGAATTATAATCATTTTACTCGTCGGGATACGGAAAAGTGTCTTTACAGTGTCTTTACTCCGTTGAGATTTTTAAAGCTGTTTATTTGTTATAATTCCATGAGTTTTAAAGTCTTTCCGTTTACTATTTACCGTGGGAGTGGGACAAATGCGACCTTTTTTTGCACCCAGACATTTGCGCACCTTTTTTTCGCACCTTGCCATTAGCGCACCTTTAAAACCTTTAACACCTTTAAAAAAGCTCTAAAAAGCTAATATTAACCAATTTCTATTCCAAAAGTTGTTTTTCTAGGTAATTTTAGGGCGTAGAATCGAAATTTTGACATATCAGAGCTTGTGGAAACAAACGGACGGAGTTATACAAAGAGAAAAATCGACAATTTTTCTGTACTTTGATCTAGCCGTTTTGTCTTTCAAATTGGTTCCACACGCTCTGTTATGTCAAAATTTGAATTCGACACCCTCAAATTACCTAGAAAAACAACATTTGGAATAGAAATTGGTTAATATTAGCTTTTAGAGCTTTTTTAAAGGTGTTAAAGGTTTTTAAAGGTGCGCTAATGGGCAAGGTGCGGAAAAAGGTGCGCAAATGTCCGGGTGTGCAAAAAAAGGTCGCGTTTGTCCCACTCCCCTTACCGTAAATACTGTAATAGTACCCCGCCCTCCTCGTACAGTCGCGTAGTCGCAAAAGTTTTTTAGTATTTCATTTTTTTCCAAGCGTCCGTACTTTCAAAAATGCGTCTTTGGTATCAAAAAATAGCCCTGAATTCCAGCTATTTTTTGATATCTAAACGCGCATTGTAGCATAAACCAGTGTCGAGAAAAACGCGTCCAAAGCTAGACTACACAACGCTCCACACCGTCATTATGGGGCTGGGGTACTATTACAGTATTTACGGTAAGTCAAAGATCAATTAAAGTGAAAAAACATGATAATTGTTGTATTTTTTTTTGGCTAAAAACTTACCTGATAGTTCACCAAATGCACTCGAAATTCTTTCATTTCTGGTGGGCTTTTCTTCACAATGCAAAATAGAGTGAAAAGATTTAATGGAACGGAGATTGGAGAAAGAATTGATTCATACAGCGAATAGACGGTTGGTTCTTCGTAAATCATCGTTTAGCAATGTTTTCTGTAAAAAGAATCAAGCTATTTTTCTGCAATCAAGCTGCAAATTCATTTAAAAAACAAAAAAACCTAAAATCTCTTTTACTAGACTTGAAAATTCATAGGAAACATGTAAAAATTGGGTACTTTTATTAAGAGTTTTAAAGAATGCCCCAGCTATCGTATCACATTTAAATCTCTTGAATCCTTTGCTTCTGCAGCTGTTTTTACAGTAATCTTTTAAACTAGGATAGAAACTATTTGAATGATTGCAACATTTACTAACTGGTTAACTGGTTAACCGGTTCTTTCTCCCATATTTAACCAAATGATTCGAAGAAAAGTTTCCAAGAAATCGGAGCTTTTAAGCATTTTAAAAGCTCCGATTTCTTGGAAACTTTCCTTTTTGAGTTTAACTCAAAAAATACATCTGTTGTAAAGAACGAAAAAAAAAGCCACTAATCACAAATTGTAAGAAAATCGCTTTCACTATTAGACAATTTATTCTCAATTGTACAATGTACATTGCAAGTGAGAAGAAAGCACTTTTTATGCACCTGCATCGATAATTTCATCTTCGGCGATTTGTTCTTGGAAATTTGCTCAAAAAAGAAATGAGAAAAGTGAACTAAAGATGGAGATTTTCTCGCGTTTTCACGTAATTTGACGTTTCGAGAGAGAGAAAATTGTAAAATTTTATTCAAAAAGGCACCAAAGTTTTCATTTCAACTTTCAACAAACAATTTCATTATACCCGAGTCAGAAATTGGCAAATTTATATCAATAATTATAAATATGTATATACAAATTGTGTAAATAAGTAGATAATAGAAAATTTTCACTTCTAATTCTTCTCAGCCTCATCGATCACCTCGAAAGTGGCTCTTCTTTCGCCAGGATTTTGTTTTTGATCAAGAGATCGATTCTCAATCTTTGCTTCCTCGGAAATCCACGAGGTATTCGTAGCTATTCTGGAAATGAGAGATTTTGGAGAAGGCTCTTGTTCTTGATATCTAATTTGAGGGTTTTCCCTAACTAGTAAGCCTTTTAGGCTAGACTAGGCTAGGCCAAAGCCAAGATTTGACTGGCTTTAGCCTGCTTCTTGTTGTTGAATGTATCGAATTTGAATCTTTGATGAATTTTGGATGAACTGAGAATGATCCATTGTTGAGACTAGAATTCTGACATACTTTCCAATAACGCGAAAGCCATCGAATTCCAATTTGCTCGACAATTTCTTTAGGTAATTATAGAGGAGAAAGTTCTATAGAAGCTGTGATCAAAATTTGGTCAAATTCAACGCCAGCAATTTAGAAAAACAAGGTTTGTGGTTTTTTTGAGGACTATTTTCTTCAACAAGACGCTATAAGTTCTAAGAAATGTACAGTTTAAACTTATTTTTCTTATATTTTGGTCATACTTTCTGCCGGCAGACATTGCCTTTTTGGCGCACACAATGAGTCATTTTTCGCTCGAGTTTAGTGAGTTTAGTTGATGTTTTTTTTTAGGATTAAAGAACAAAAAGCAGGCATTATAAATGTTCTTTAAAATTCTATAATTCTCTTAGATTTATAAGAGAATCATAGAAAGTTTTTTCCTCCTCACCTCAACATAATCCTTTCCCATTTCGGGATCGTCGATTTAGGATTTCCAATTTTAAAGTTTCCTCCATTTCTCCAATTCACGATGATCAGATACTCGACGACAAAAGTATTGAAGAGATACGCGACAGCACAACAGGCCAAAGCTAAACTTTACTTGATGGAAAAGGGTCGAAAAGGGTTTTTTTTAAAACCTGTAAACATGATGTAGAGTCGCACAGAGAAATATGGGATTGGATCGAATTCGAGGAGATCGACGATCAATTTTGGTGGGCTAAGGATGACCATTGGGGGAGACCCAGACAAAAAAACGTGGAAAAATTTGAATTCTATAAATTTCTCAACTCACCGACGTTGTGATCAGATCGCGAAACAGCCACGGATTGCTGAGAATCGATTTTTGATATGGTGCACCTTTGATTGTACACAGCAAAGGCCAAGATAATGTGGCTGGAATAGAGAAAACACAGAAAAAGTTGTTGTTCCCCTGAATAGCTTTTTTTTTTATTTCATCGTTCTTATTTACCTGATGAGTAGAGAAGATCGGCTTTTTTTACCGTAACCTTCTTGGATTATGTTCATGAAACCACGGTTGATTGGGCTGTCCAAGAGTAGATGTACAGCCAAAATAGCAGGCTTTCATTTGGCTTTTAATTTTAAAGTGCTACCCTTGATTTTAGAAACTATATGTATAAAGTTGGGTAACTAAACCGATTTTCGTTTAACCCCAGGTGATTCTCCGGGATGTACTTTGTGCTTTGTAAAGTGCTTTCATGTAAACACACACTTTCTACACTATTTCTACTAAAGTAATGAAGAGTTCAGTGCACCAGAAGGAATGCGTTTGTGATTTCGAGCATAAAGTACACTGCATTCAAAACAAACTATTGAAAATTGCATTTTAAAATCATTAACTTTTTCATCATAATAAAGTCAAGATTGAATTACACAAAAGGAATGGCAAAGAATTTCGAAACGAGGGGAAATTGAACCCTCGACCTTCTGCTTATCGGTCCAATGCTCTACCACTAGGCTATCAGTGCCTTCTTTACCCAAGAAGAAAGAAAGGGAACAAATTACCTGTGTGAGTCCAAAAATGAGCATTTGCCCGACAACGCTGACCATTGAGGACAATGCGAGGAGTTTTGTGGGTGGAGGATCCTGGAAAGGTATTCAGCTGATAAAGTTGATTAGATTTTCAATTTCAAACTTCACCTGGGCCAGTGTTTCAAAAACATGGCGATAAAGGTGGCGTAAAGAAAGAGATCAATAAAGAGAAATTTGAGATCGGGAACGGCATTCAAATGAAAGTAGACAAGCATCACCGTTGAGAACTAAAAAAAAAAACGAGAAATTTTCACATTAACAGTTCGAAAACTACGTTTTATTATGGTACTTTTATCTAATAAATCCCACTTGAGCAATTGAATAAATAGTTGGCCATGTATTTGAAGACACCAAAAGAAGTGACGAGAGCGGCTCGACTTCTCGCGGATCACCTGGAACACAACGGATATCGGCTGCCTGAAAGCTTGTACATAAAATTTGGAAAACTTGAATTTTAAGTTCAAAAATCTACTAATAATAAGAGTTCCAGAGTCAATTTTCCAAAATAAACTCGGTTTGGCAGGGCCTGAGTTGGACCTGAGCTGACCTAGCATAGCCCGGCTTTGCTATAGTCCTGACCTGAAAACCGATCTGAGTCTGGTCTCTGGTCGACCTCTGTCTAGCTCCCTCTAGCCTACCCTATTCCTAGAACCCTAGGATTCTTTTCCCTATCTACAACTAACCTTGACGGGAACGGAGCGGCGATTGAAGCCTCAGCATCGGATAGATGAAATTTCTGCGTGAGCCGCCCGAAAATGATTAAATTTTAAGTGAGCTGGCTAGTTTTCAGCAAAAAATCCTAGTTTTTTACCTTTAAAGCGGCACAATCATTCGCCCCATCACCGCACATGGCCACCGTGTAGTCAAGAGTTTGTAGATATTTACTACATTTGCTTTGCTCGGGCGCCATTCGAGCGAACACATCGAACCGAAACAAAATGTCAGAGTGGTTGAATTGAAAAGAGATGACTAAAGTCTTTATCGAATGCTATGAAGCACAAAGTCTGATGCATGAATTAGCCCAACTCACACAGCCGAGGTCATCAAGCAGCTCTGGATACTCTTTGGCCACAATTGCAAACGTTGAACCAAAACCCAGTTCCGGAAAGCAAAAATAAAGCAACAAATTTTGGGTAAAACGAATCAAAATGAAACAAACCAGCAACACAAAAATTGATAATCGGGGGACAAAAGCTTTTCGATTTCTGGTCGGTGGAGATGTCCTTGTGTGGAATGAATTTGTCATGATCGATGAGTCGCCTAAAAGAAAATCTGAAATTATTTGAAATGAATACTTAAGCAAGATAAATAATTTTTAAATTGAAAAAGTATTTTTGCTGATTTTAACATTTTCACAAACCTCTCTTTAACAATCATAATGTTCTACCCTTTTCGTCTTTCAGATCAGCGATGTGCTCAAGTAGGTAAGCCTGGAAAGGAAACATACATTTGAAAGCAAAGCAAGGAATGGTAAAAAAATTCGGGAGAGTGGCATTGAACCCCAATCTAACAAAGCTTCAACCACTGAGCTATCCGGGAAAAGAAAGAAGAAACACAAGGGGAAGAGAAAGTAAAGAAGAAAAGGTAAATGATTAGTTACAGAAAATTCGTTGATCTTAACACATTCACGACGTAAGAAATTTTTGTCAGAAAAAAAGGTCCAAAAATTTGCACCTAGAGCTTTTTTGTGGGTGCTGATTGGAATTCTTGGGCATTAACTCTTTTAACTTCGTTGGCCCAGAAAATACCAATGCTACTCATTTTGAGCATTTCGCTGTATGCTGCTTGCTGCGTTTCCGGGGTATTTTGAGAGCGGTTCTTATATCATTAGGCACCAAAGTTGTTTTCATAAAAACCAGAAAGCCGATCCAAGAAAGTTATTTGTAACCCACCGGACGTAACCTTTTGTTTCATTTTTCATCTGTCTACTATGGTATCTCAGTCTCTGTAAACTATCACCCGCACTAAAACGAGACACTCTGTCGAAAAGGTCTCACAGAGTCACTGCTAAACTCAACTTGGGTAATTAAACTGAGAAAAGTGCTGTCGCAGATTCAGCCGGCCAAGTGCCAGATGCCACTTTTCCTACAGAGTGACACATGAAAAGGTACAGCAACAGTATGGCCTTGCGGGGTTTTTTTCGCATTTAAAAAGGTTGTTCTTATCATTTCCAAAACTGAAAACATTATTCTGATCGAGGAAATAAAAGTTAAGGCATCCCCAACAAATTTTCAGAATTTTTGGTTCAAATATTATAAAGAAATATCCAAAATACACCGGTGTACGTTGTCTTGAATGTATTAAAGGGTTTATGGATAAATTTTGCTAAAACGGTATTTTATCAGATGCTTGTCAGACAAATCATGGGAGTTTAGTCAAAACAATCTAAGCATGTTCATAAATTGACCAAAATTTAGGCAAATTTGATGGTTTTTGGAGTGGGATTAGGTTTAAATGGTCAATTTGACATTCTAACAAAGTCAATTGATGGGCCTTAGAGTCAATTGGACAAATTCTGAGTCAATTTGACAAATTAAGCACCAAAAACGAACCTTCCGATCGGGCCTTAATGATTGAGCACTCAGCAGCTGCCACTCCATTGCCGTCAACAAATTATCTCCAGTCACCATCACTGTTCGAATTCGTGCACCAGAACAAACGATGTTCATCTGTCCTATTCAGTTACCTATTCAAATGTTGAATGACAATTTTTCGTCACCGGTTTTTACCTTCGGAGTCTTCCATGATTATCAATCCGGGCCATCGCAGATCATATTCGATCTCTTGTCGAGGGATTTTCATCGCTTCACTTCTTGTCAGGGTCCAGGTCTCGACGGGCTACCTAAAACGTATTCCTTTCAACTTTTGATAAACACAACCAACCGCAATCAACGATAACCCCTTCTGAGTGTACGAATTGACGATTCGTTGAAAATCCACGGGCACGGCCCGGATCACAGAGGGAGTGCACGTGATTTCTGGGGATCCGTGAAAGTTTCATAAAATTTCACTAAAACCTTTTCATTCTATGTCCATCGTAAGGATTTTAGGAAAAAGAAGAATTCTGTCTGGTTTGAGTTCCATAAAGAGATCAAATTCCCAGAAAATGGAGCTAAATAAAAAATAGTTAAATCTTTTTATCAAAGCAAAACACACTTTTCATATCATTCATTTATAAACGAAAATCTCGAAAAAGTTGACAAGGCTTTCTGGCCAAAACCACGGCAACAGTTTTTGACTTATGGGAACAAGGGTTTATTCGGTAAGTTAGCATATTGAACATATTCTAATATCTATCAAAGCTGGCTCCAGAGCCTTAAATCAGGACACGCTAGAGTTCAGCGGGCTGGCAAGCCCAGGGCTTCGTGGGTTAGACCTGCAGCACAGTCAGGCCAGACAAGGACCTAGATCCTGACCTGATCGGGACTGTCATGACAGGTTCTTGCTTTTGGAAATTTCTGAGTCCAGGACAGACAGTGCTTCTGACCAAAACGATTAACTACAGCTCAGTTCTAAACCTCTGGGACTTCAGCCAGACTTGCGGCAAAGCAGGTCAGACAAGGACTCCAGATTTGAACTGGCCCTTGATTGACCAACCTTCTACTCATCTATCATCTCACAAACTTATTTTACATAAAGCATAATTTTTCCTCTTCACTTTCTTTTCTTCGTCGATCCACTGATCACCGACATTCCGCCGAAGTGCCGAACTGAAAATGGGCACAAAATGGTCTCAAAACTTCCTAAAACAACATTTTAACAAGGTTTTTGAATCTAGTAGCTTGAATGAATTTTTTGATATATCCCAAAAAAACTCACCTAAAAGTGAACTGTCGAAGCACGGGGAAATTCATCTCCGCCAAAATATTCCCGGAAGCCCGGCGGTTTCACCAAACTCATTTGATCTTGATCGCTTTGTATTTTGTTGGGAATCTTCAGCGGCAGAAGAAGAAGAAGAATCAAATGTTGTATTCAATCTGAGATCACTCAATCGATTTTTCGATTTTCACCCTTCTCCTTTTTCTTCTTTTTATTTTTACCTAATCCCCTCATCTAGTGTCCAATTTGTTTTGTTGAAGTTAAGAATCAAATCGGGCGGATCTCCATGAAGCTCGCCTCTCGATTCTGAAACTGATCAATATTTGCAATTGTATAATTTTTAAAATCCAAAAATCTAATAGTCACCGAACTGAACACTCAAATTTTCCAAATTAGAAGCGATGGGCAGACAGCTGAAGCTTGATCACCCTGGCTCCTTCGGGGAAATCCTCGTGTCTCATCTCTCCCGTGTCCAACCCAAATGAGCAGTCTCTCGTCTGTAAATAAAATAGTACAATTAAGATTGGAAGATAACGAACTAACAAGCACTGATTACAAGTCCGAATTTCCAAAACTCTTTACTGATCTATAAGATCGTAAATTCCACTCACCCCACTTCCGGGAAAACTGGCCGAGCCGCATAAAAGTCGAGTCCTACCTTCGGTTAGGGTACCCGTTTTGCAAAAGCCGAAACCTAAATTCTTACAATGAAGATTATTGATTTCGGTCAGAAAGTCTGGTTCTTAAATTTCAGTTTATCAACGAATAATCAGCCGATCGGGACGTGGTTTGCTTTGAAAAAAAAGTTTAACTATTTAATTTAGCTATTTTTAAGCAAAAATGAACTTCGCTTGAAGCAAAACCGAAATTATAAATTTTAATTTCCTAAAAATCCTAACAATGGACAAAGAATGCGAACGGCTTGGTGAAATGTTAAGAAAATTTGTCTATCTGTCTAACTTTCATTCTCTACTCTTTGTCTTTTTGACACCAAAATAAGTTTCTTTGATAAAATTTCAAATCGGAACTTTGAGTTTCATCATTTTTGAATGCTCGATTTTACACCTTTAAAAAATTAACTAACGCGAGGTATCAGAAATTTTTAAAGGACAATTTGTAAATAAATAATAGGACTTTCTAATAAAACAAACCATAGATCGATTGGTTCATTATTCATTTCAAAAAGTAACCTTTAAAAAAGCGAATAAGACTTTCCGGCCAACCTGATAGAAACTTTAATACTTTAAAGATTTCAAAAAAGCAAATCCATACCACATTCACAGCTCCACACGTGTTGATGGTTGATGGAGAGATACAATAGATATCTTTCTTTCTCAAGCGGCCATTTGCGTTGATGATTCCGACGGACATTGCGGCTAAAGTTTGAGCTTTGGCTTAAGAATTTTTGAAATTACACATCTCAAAGGCACTTTTAAGGGTAGCTATCGGTTATATCCCACAACAATGCACCAAATTTTCTGAATATAACCGATTTGTACCCTTTTAAGTTCTTTGAAAGTCATAGCCACAATTTTCCCCGTTTACAAACCTGGAAGAGCTGGGGGAACAACACAAGTGATGATATCCAACGATCGAATCACCAACTTCTTCCAGGCCGCCTAAATCAGCGAGATTTAAATAGTTACAATAGATTCAACTGCTAAGACTGAATTTTTTATGTTTTATGTTTTATACATTTTTTCACAAACCCCATAATGGAACATCATTCCAAGAGTGTAGGCGAAACCAAAAGACGCCATGATGCTCAAGAAACCGACGAACTAAAGAAAATCTTTAGAAAACTGATAAATTCAAATATTTACCTTCAAAAGATCCCTGTTAAACTCGAAATCGATTGGTTTTGGGTACATGATGGATCTGAAAAGGAAAACTTTGACTTCAGAAAGTTGAAAAGGCTAGGCTTGCCGATAGGACTGGCATTTTAGCTATTTTTCAATTTTTTTTATAATTACTTAATATTGTCTATCAGATCATCAATTGACCTTTCAAAAGTCTCCATTCAAAACGAAAAAGTTCTGGAATTAAACCCGACCGATTTGTTACTTATCGATAAACTTGTTTACCTAACAAGTTGTCCCTTTGTTGTAGAGAAAGCTGTTCGAATGACGATCGCTCTCACGAGACCTCGTCCGTAATTTCGAGTTTGGAGTACCTGGAAAGAAAAGCAATACCCTAGCTTTCAAAAGTTCAAAAGTTTACCTGTGTTCCACAGAATAACACATGTTTTGCGTGTCGATCGAAATCAAGCTTCACATTTCCCGTTTTATTATCATCGTCCAAGCCAGAGGCATTCACCTGTAAGAAATTAAATAAAAAAAGTACCGTAGTTTTTGCATATTATTTAGCAATAAAAAATGGGAGTGGGACAAATGCGAGCTTTTTTTGCGTACCCGGCCCATTAGCGCACCTTTTTTCGCGTTTTAAAAAAGCTCTAAAAGCTAATATTAACCAATTTCTATTCCAAAAGTTGTTTTTCTAGGTAATTTTAGGGCGTAGAATCGAAATTTTGACATATCAGAGCTTGTGGAAGCAAAAGCACAGGGTTATACATAGAGAAAAATCGACAATTTTTCTGTAATTTAACCTATGCGTTTTATCTTTCAAATTGATATTTCAAAATTTGGATTCTACACCCTAAAATTACCCAGAAAAACAGCTTTTGGAAAAGAAATTGGTTAATGTTAGCTAGAGCTTTTTTAAAAGACGAAAAAAGGTTCGCTAATGGGCTGGGTGCGGAAAAAGAAGTCGTGCGTGTGTCACTTCCAAAAGAAATGGCAAAAAAATCTCGAGAAGCCTACTATATATGGCTACCAAGTAAGCTATTCATTCGTTTGACTGAATATCTTATTTTGGGAAATTTTCGAAAAAAAAGGATTTTTCGTATTGGAACCGTATTGGATCTAAAAGGAACCGTATTGGAACCGTATTGGATCTAAAAAGAACCGTATTGGAACCGTATTGGAACCCTATTGGATCAAAAAAGGAAACCCGAATAGCTCGCAATTTCACATCAAAATTTTAGAGCGCTTTTTAGAACGCCTTATTTAACGTTTCTTGACGCGTTATTCAAATCAAAAAAATTATTTGAGTAAATCTATTCAAATAATTATTTGTTTAAGAGAAACCCATTCTAATTGTGATTCATTGAACAAACCTTTGTAACGGGAACACTTTCCCCAGTCAACATCGACTCATTGACGATAACGGTTCCTGTCAAAAGAATTGCATCGCATTGCATCACAAAACCATGTTCGGGAATAACAATCACATCACCGGGTACCAGCTAAATAAAGTACAATAGATTTTTTTGTCAAAACAAGCCTCAGAGCTGTCAACAATTGTGCACTCTCCTTTGTCTCGGAGAACTGTTATCTAAAAAAGATGCGTTTAAAAGCAAAAGATATTGCTCCCGGTGAGGCTCGAACTCACGACCTTCAGATTATGAGACTGACGCGCTGCCTACTGCGCTACGGAAGCATGGATGGGTAGTTTAAAACTTGGCTCATCAGTCGTGACCCGTTACAGCTTTAATAGCTTTTTCCAAGTAGTGATAAAATGCTTTGTTGTTGTGTTTTTGTTGTTTTTGCTTTTGTTATGTGTTTTCCCAACCTCTCCAGACGAATGAACCATCGATCGGAGTTTCTTTTCTTGTTTCCTTGTCTGAAATTTGTTCTTCTTTACATATACGCCTTTTTCACCTGATAAACATCTAGCGTAATCGATCCAACTGAAATGATGACAATGATTGATGCATAGTAGATGTACTCATCCCAATACCATAGGCAAACACTGAACATTTTTTGTGATGCGAAACAAAAAAGCAAATTTTATTACCTGAATAGTTGAAAGATGTAAAACGGAGAGATGGCCTCTTTGAAAAGCAAAACGACGATTGGTTTTAGCTGCACTTCGATCAGATTTCTGCCGTATGTAAGCCGGCGTTGAAGCACCTAAAAACAAGCAATCTGGCCATTGAATAAACCGAGAATTGAACTGATTGAACTTACTGATTCTTTTGTTAAACAAATTTTCCTGTTACAACTTCATTAAAGATCACTGCTGGCAACTCACCAACAAAATTAGGTTAAACAGCTATAAACCTAGGTGAATTGTTGGTTAGTTGTACTGATTTTTCTACAAATTGTACTGATTATGAGTTTACCAATGCTGTATCGCCATCAATTTATAGCCTTCAAGCCTTCATTTATAGCCTTCAAGGCATCAATTTATAGCCTTCATTTATAGCCTTATAGCCATCAATTTTTAGTTTCTTCTCACAAATCAACTCACTTGTGCTGTAGTGATCCCGTGTTTGTCATCAATCCGATCGATCAACGTTTTCACGGGCACCTAGAGCATTCAGAAATTTGTCTGGACAAAGTTAAAGAGCTGTTTTAAGCTTGGAATTGGAAAAGATGGCCTTGTAAGCCGAAAGTGAGATTCAATTTGATTGTAGAGACTCTCAATAAGCTTATCGGAGACAATAAGACTTTAGTAGATCTCTAGATCTCCAGTAGATCTCTAGATCTCCAGTAGATCTCTAGATCTCCAGTAGATCTCTAGATCTCCAGTAGATCTCCAGACTGATTATAGAGACTCTCAATAAGCTTATCGGAGACAATAAGACTTTAGTAGATCTCTCTAGAGCAAACTCTCTTCTATGAAAGTTTTCTGGGGTAATTCGATGTACATATTTCGTCCTCACAGAGCCTAGTTTTGCAATTGTTGAAGGTTTTGGGAACTTCTCAATAGTGATAAGTACTCAATAGTCAAGTCAGTGAGTTGTTACGGTTTATGAGCTTTTCAAGGAGACTCACCGAACTGTCGAAGTCCGATGGTGGAATGAACTTCGCCTCTTTCTCGAACCACGCGTAGAGCATTTTTCGGAAAGTGAAATACCGAATATGGGATACTAAAATGGTTATTTTGATAAAAATTTGCGTAATTGACAAAAATCATTGTCAAACCTTCTCGATAACTTCCCAGTCCATTGGGTAAAATGAGGGGATTTCCATCAGATCCCATCGTAACATCTTTCACCAAACGATGAGTAGTTGTTCGATTCTCATCGCTGAAAAGGAAAAAAAGATGAAGAAAGCTCCACAAATTAGCTTTATATAAAAAAACTTACACAATAAAGAGTATGTTCGCTTGATCGAGGTTGCATTTGGTGGCTCGCACCTTGATGTACCTTTAAATTTAGCTCAATTTTGAAAAAGGGACGAATAATGAGATTTTTGTGGAAACGATTGAGGTGAGTTTAGAAGAAAGTAGTTATGATTAGTTTAGTTTTGACTAAAGACCACTTTCTTGAGCTAAAGCCTAAGCTTTGGAATTTAGACTTAAACAGAATTCACTCTAATCTAAAGGAAATTCTCTTTCGATTGGGTTGGTGAATTGAAAACTGCGGAATCAAAAGGGATGAGGTCCAGACTGTATGGGGGATGCGCCAAAAGTTCCCAAACAAGGCGATTTATATTAGAGCGAGTCAGTTTTGCAACATGAGGGCGCGCGTTGTCGTGGGTGAGAACGATCTTTGACTTGGAGGGCCTATTCTTCTTGAACTTGAACTTGAAGACAAGAAGTTGAAGAAGCGTGTCAAGAGTTCTTTGATTCAAAGAAGCCGGCTTGGTACTTGCAGATTCGAAATCTTGCTGATCGATGGCAGAAGGTCGTAGAGAATCACGGAGAATGAATATATTGGGTTGGTGAATTGAAAACTGCGGGACTTTGAACTAAAATTTATTCAACCATCAATTCATTCCAAATAATTTCCATTATTATTCACGACTTCTGCCCATTTTACAGGCAATTTGCGGATTCCTCTTTCGTAGTAGGATTTTGGTTTGTGTGTGAGACAAGTGTGAGACTCAAAAATCGAGGACTGGAGATGTCCGATAGAGAGTTTGAGCACTTTCTTCAAAAGAAACCCATTTTGATGTCAATGGAAAAGTTGTAGAGAATCAGAAATTAGGCTTATAGCGAAATTTCCAAAAAGATACACTTAGTAGTTTCGCTTAAAATGCAAGTTTTGTGAAAATTCGTAAATTTAGCATTTCTTGAACACCGGTTTTTGAATCGTTCTGAAAATTTGGATATAAGCTTGATTTTTGATTCTCTACAACTTTTCCATTGACATCAAAATGGGTTTCTTTTGAAGAAAGTGCTCAAACTGTCACATACGACAATAGCCCGCAGTTTTCAATTCACCAATCCAATAGTTGTAAGTATGGAATTTTGTAAATAAAGAAAACCTTTTCACTCACCATTCCTCTTTCCAATGGATTATCAAACGGAAAATGCCGAGTGTGCAAAATGAGAAAATATAGAAAAGTATCTGAAACGATTTTAGAAATGCAGATTTTTTTTTTTCAAATTACAGTTCTCGGCAGGGTTAGTGAATAGCCATAGATGTCAAGATGGCCTTCACCTGAAAGAAAAAAAGAGAATGGAAATAGATATGAAGCTACAAACCATTGTAGAAACGCGTAGACTAGATATTTTTGAAAATTTTTTTGACCAAAAGATCTGGCTAACTTTAGGCTTTCGAATGACACCAAAATCAAGTTAAATCATGTTCTCTACACTGAGATCTAACGTCTTTTTCAGGTTTTTAGTTTTGTCTCATGGGAGAAGACTACAAATGGCTATAAATGACTCGTTTTCAGAGTACAAATGATGGATTTTCTTGGTTTTAGTGCCATTCGAAAGCCTAAACATTGCTCATTGGTGAGAAAAGCTTAAAAAATATCGATTCTACGCAATTCTACAAGGGTTTATAGTCTGACCTTGTAGTTTGTAAGGTCCATGTCTAATTGAAAAGCTTTGAAAGCTTATAGCTGAAGTAACTCAAGGCTTTAGGTTAATATAAAAGAAAATGAACTGAATGAACTGAATTTCAACTTAGATTAGTACTCAACTTTTGAAGGATCGCTTGAAGAACCTATAACAGAAAGATTAGTATTTTGGTGGTTGAGAGGGGCTATTTTTGACTTGGCTTTATCGAATCTAGTGCTTTGAGCGGTTCTTGGTGATATTTTTCAACTTATTTTTAGCTACATAACAAAGTAATAGATTAGTACTCAACTTTTGAAGGATCCCTTGAAGAACCTATAACAGAAAGATTAGTATTTTGGTAGTCCATTCAAAACGAAAAAGTCCCGGAATTAAACCCGACCGATTGGCTACTTATCGATAAACTTGTTTACCTAACAAGTTGTCTCTTTGTTGTAGAGAAAGCTGTTGAGAGGCGCTATTTTTGACTTGGCTTTATCGAATCTAGTGCTTTGAGCGGTTCATGTCGATACTTTTCTTCTATTTCGGGGTAATTATACATGCTGAAGCGATTGGTGCTAATTTAAGTAGTTTTTGATAATCCTATTTGATGATTTGCCTTGTTTGCTAGCCTGTTTTAACCACCGAACGTTATCTCAAAGCTGATTACACTTGAAAAGCTACAATACTAACTTGAAACATGTTGGAAATACTCTAAAATTAGCACCAATCGCTTCAGCATATAGAATTACCCCAGAATAGAAGAAGAATATCGACAAAAACCGCTTAAAACACTAGATTCGATGAAGCTAAGTCAAAAATAGTCCCTCTCAACCACCAAAGAGCCGAATATTTAATTGAAAAGAGTTAAATGACTTGAGCAATGGGCTGCATTGAGAGATCAATCTTTCAGGATAACTTATTCCTATGCTAAACAAGTTTTGATGTCTTAAATAGCCTTTATCAGCCTTTACCAATGACTTGGGGATTGTTTTAACAGATTGGCTAGGTATTTTGAGCATCCCGTCGCATAGTCGTTAACTTTGATAGTCTTGAATCTCCTCTTGAAAACTAGTACAAAATTACCAAGAACTTTTTACAAAATCAATAACAAAGTCCTTGAAAAACGAGCTGTCACAAAAAATAATCGTGATTAGGTTGATCGACCGATCGCCATCAATGTTTAATGGTTCTATTGGTGCAACCGTTTTAGTGGATTCTAATAAAATACCAGATTGGGATAAAATGTCAAGTAAGAGCAAAAATTGGTGAAATTCTTAAAATCTAAGTATTAGCTCGTTTTGGTTTCACTTGTTGGGCTCATTTGTTCATTGTGATCACTTACCAGATTGTACTCTTGCATGATGTTTTATTGTTTGATTCGAGGCGCCATTTGCCCCGTTGGCCATCAAGAAAAAACGTCTGATAGCGGGTGGTTGAGGTTAAATTCTGAAAAGAAATTCATTGATTTAAAGGAGAAACATTCTTTTAAATGATTTTTGCTTAATTTTTGCTCAAATACAGGTTTTAAACACAAAAAAAATCCATAACCGAAAGTATGATGGGGAAAAGAGAAAAAAAGTGGAGGAGAAAGTTGGGAAAACTTGGGAAAATTGATTTGAAAACGGTTCAATTCGACCAATCTATCATTTTTGCGAAAAAAAAGTGAACAAATGATCTAGAAAAGAGATCGGAAACTATAGAAAAGTAGGGGGAAAATAATGAAAAGATTTGGATGATAGGATAACTTTTAAGGGATAAATCTCAGCTTATCAACAAAAAAATCGATTCAGTGACCAATTCGACTTTATAGAATCGATCATGATTTGTTCAATTTGTCAAAAACCATGCAAACGAGAGATATCTGGCAAACCAGCTGATATTTAAGTACCGAGAAGCCTTTTATGCAAAGAAAAAACTTCTCAGCCTGAAATTTGATTGTGGTTTGAGATGCGTCCCGCCGCCTTTGCCATTGGAAATCCAACTTTAAACTCAAATAACTTGGTGTTGGGCTGTTAAATTTAAATAGTTTTTGGTATCATTAAATTGGCCAAGTCTTTCTCTGTCGATTGGTATAAAAACTATTTAAATTGAATAGCCCAACACCAAGAAATTTGAGTTCAAAGTTAGATTGTCAATGGCAAAGGTGGCGGGGTTGTGGGGCCTTTTATACGCGCCCAACACCAAGATATTTGAGCTTAAAGTTAAATTGTCCATGGGAAAAGGGGTGGGGCGCGTATAAAAGGTTCAATAACGCGTTATTTCCTTCTCGCGTTTGCATGGTTGGCAAGAAATTGTGAAGTTTTATAAATTCTATAAAAAAACCAAATGAAAAGTTTGTAAAAGCAAAAATAAACGCAAAATTACTTTAAATGTAATAAATTTTGAATCAAACAAGTGCAAACTTTTCAAAATTCTCCAGAAACTTTTATTTATTGTTTCAAGAGTTTTACTGAAACAATGTTTTTATTGTTTACTTAAAAAAAACTCGTTCAACTTGTTTGCTTCAAAAAACTTTGACTTTGATTCAAACTTTGATTCAAAATTGATCACGTTTAAGTACTAGCTGATTTTAGTGCATAAAAAAGCTTTTAAATCCTAAAATTTTCACAAATCTTTGTCACCTGTTCTTTGAAGAAGGTCATTTCCGATAACTCGTAACGGATTTTGACTTTTAATAGGCTTTGAAAGGTCAAATATTTAGCTAAATTGGTGAATTGGGGTTTTTGGGTGGCACGGAATAAAGAATTTTTCGATTTTCTCAACAAAATCTTTTTAATCACAAGATTGAGGGGAAAAGCTTTATCAGTTTTCTCATTTTGAATCAAGAAAAGGAAAGAAAAGGGATTTTATGGAGTATTTGACGGAGAAAAGGTTGAAAAGAGATTTTAGGCTTATATGGTGATAAAATAAGGATTATCTTTTCAAAATTTTCGAGCTTTTAATAATCCGAAGCCGAGCTCAAGGTGAGGGTTGTTGTTTGAGTGTGCTTTGTGCTTAAAAACGCAAACAATTTGCCATTTCTAACATAGAAAAGCTATAAATAGCTAGTTTTTCTCCTCTTTCAGTCTAGAAATTTGCAAATTCAAATGATTTGTCATTGGAAACACAACTTTGAGCTCAAATATCTTGGTGTGGGGCTATTCAATTTACATGTTCTTGGTATCATTAAATTCGCCAAGTCTTTCTCTGCTGATTGGTATAAAAACTATTTAAATTGAATAATCCAACATCAAGAAATTTGAGCTTAAAGTTAGATTGTCAATAGCAAAGGGACGGGGCACGTATAAAAGGTCCCACAACCCCGCCACCTTTGCCATTGGCAATCTAACTTTGAGTTCAAATATCTTGGTGTGGGGCGATTCAATTTACATAATTTTTGTACCAATCGACAGAGAAAGACTTGGCGAATCTAATGATACCAAGAATATTTAAATTGGATAGCCCAGCACCAAGAAATTTGAGCTTAAAGTTGGATTGCCAATGGCAAAGGGATCCAGCGCGTATAAAAGGCCCTAGCCCGCCAACCTTGAACTCCAATTTCTTGGTGTTGGGCTGTTCGAAATTCAAATAGTTTTTCTACCAATCGACAGAAAAAGACTTGGCGTATCCAATCATACCAAGAATATTTAAATTGGATAGCCGGGCGCAAAGAGCCAAAAAAAACTCAAAAAATTAGATGCCGATGGTAAAAGGGGCGGGGCGCGTATTAAATGTCCGATGTTGTGACTGAATTATGTTCTTGGTATCATTAGATTCGCCAAGTGTGCTTTGTGCTTAAAAACGCAATCAATTTGCCATTTCTAAAATAGAAAAGCTATAAATAGCTAGTTTTTCTCCTCTTTCAGTCTAGAAATTTGCAAATTCACTAATTAAATGCAGCAGAAAAGTTTCGTTTGCACAAAAGTCGAACTTCTTTCTCAAACTAGCTGCTCTTTGATGTGTGCCCTTTGTGCTCAAACAAATCTTATATTATTTTCTTTTCTTTTTTCTGGTTGAAAGAGTATTTTGACATAAAAATGAATCAAGAAATTACAGAATCAAAAAATTTTATGCAAAAAAGCATAAAAAAAATTGTGGGATCGATTGCCAAAAGGAAGCTGAAGAACTTAACTCCAAATTAAGCCAAATTATATTTTCTAAATAAAATTATAGTAGATAAAAAGACTAAGCTAAACTAAAGAGAAGGCATAGTTTTAGCCTTTGTTTAGTCAGAGTGCATAAATGTGCAGTGGGCAAAACCCATAAGTACCAAAGAATCGTAGCAATATGTCAAAAAGCTAATTACAAGCACAATATGTTAGTCAGTAGTAAATAAGTAGTCACAATCAAATAATAGCATTTCATAATATCATCTCATTTAGCTACCAGTAAGCTTTTAAAACAAAGGAAGTCAGAAGTGAACAACAGAGCAAATTTTAGCAGGGTGCACTACTATTTTTTTTCAACCGCCCTCCTGCCTGCACTGCTTGTGGCTGAATAGCCGCTAAAAGTTATCTAACTCCTGACAGCCTAAAAAATTGGAAAGAAATCGGTGCGCCTTCATTTTATTTCGCGCCCCAAATCATTTATTGTTTTGTAGCTTGTTAGCTTTGTTATCTTGTGTTAAAACCTATATAAGGCAACTGTTGTTCATTTGTTTTTGTTATCTTTCATTTTTCTTTTCTGCTTTCCTCTAATTGTGTGAAAGTTGTGTCCTAATT